GGTGGGAGGACTACTAGAGGCCAGGAGTTGGAGACTGGTCTGGATAACACAGCGAGACCCCATCTCTACAAAACTTTTTAGAAGTAGCTGGGCATGGTGTTGTGTGCCTGTGGTCCTAGCTACTCAGGAGGCTGAGGCAGGAGAATCACTTGAGCCCCATAGAGTGGTATGATCATAGCTTACTTCAGCTATGATCATACCACTGTACTCCAGCCACTCTCACACACTACAGAGTGAGAGAAAGAGAAAAGGAAGGAAAGAAGGAAGGAAGGAAGGAGAGAAAAAGAGAAAGGCAGGAAGGGAGGGAGAGATGAAGGAAGAAAGAGGAAAAAAGAAAGAAAAGAAAGGGATGAGGAAGGGAAGAAAGAAGAAAGGAAGGAAGGAAGGAAAGGAGGAAGGGAAGAAAGAGAAAGAGAAAAAAGAAAGGAAAAGAGAGGAGAGAAAGGAAAAAAGGAAGGAAGAAAAGAAGGAAGGAAGGAGGGAAAAAAGAAAGAAAAGAAAGAGTCCAAATCTTGCAAGAATTTGTTTTGTAAGTATCTAAGTCATTTTGGACTGCTATAAAAAATACCATAGACTGAGTTGCTTCAACTACAAACATTTCTTTCTCTACAGTTCTGAAGGCTGGAAAGTTCAAGATCAAGGTGTTGGTGGATTACGTTTCTGCTGAGGGCTCTCTTCCTGGTTTGCAGATGGCTGCCTTCTTGCTGTGTTCTCACACGGCAGAGAGAGAAAAATCGTATCTCTTCCTCCTTTTATAAAGGCATTAATTCCATTATGAGGGCCTCCTCACAAACACTAGTCTATAGCAGTGAGGTTGCAAGATCACCAGAATCACTTCATATATGTCAAGCAGCTAGGCTTCCATTTAACTGGTTCTGATGCTTTAATATTCATTTCTTACATTGAGTTTGCCTGAAATGAATTTTTCTCTAATTTGGGAACTGCTGGTGATTAGGCTAGAAGTAAGGGTAAGGCCTAATTGTAGATTATTTTGACCACTTTTTTCTACATGTTCCCATAGTCTTTCTGCTTTTTCCCTTCTATGATTGACTTTTTAAAAAGAATTTACATAATTTACTCTTCCCCTTCCGAAAAATATTTCATCATATTCTTTTAATACTTATTCCTTTCATTGTTGAAGGGTTAGGCAGGTTTTAAGGGTTTAATTTTCACTAGAAATTTATGTTCTGTGTCATAGAAAATTCATATTGTAAAACAAGCCTCTTCTTTTTAGGGGTAAATACTAAGAGAGAGAGAGAGGAACAGAAGTTCCAAGAAAAGGCTGTGTCTGTAGGTCCAAATTTCTAGACTTTGTATAAAGACAGAGTATTTCATATGCCACTCGCTGGTAGAGGGTGGATTATTTGTAACTATATTTTCCCCAAACGCTATGAGAAGCATAGTGACTCAATTTCTCCCTTATAAGGTGGGTTCTCTGATTTAGGATTTAAATTCACAGACCTTGAAAAACTGAAAGAGACTGGTGATGACAATAAACAAGGATGATGTCCTCCCTTTTCTTTTCTGCTTTTTCTCTGCCCTCTTTCCTCAGGTAACACAGCAGCACCAAAAATGTAGGTCTAAATATGGACCAGGTTCTGTAACTCTGGTTTTGCTTAGAGAGAAGGAACAGGGCTTAGATTACTAGCTGCTGTAATAGATAAGGGTTGTTTGTGTCTAAATTTTGTGGGTGTTGGTAGGTTTTTCAATATTCTTGGGTACCATATTGCCTTTAGAATTTTGGGAAAGTGTGATACGTGAGACAGAGAAGGCTCCATCGACAACAGCTTGGAAGAGGTTTTGTACGGTTTTGTACACTTTTGTATTACTTGGACTCTGACCTCTTTCCTGGTTGTACAAAGCTGGTGCGGACAATGCAGCTAGTATCATTTGACCATGGCCTTGCAGTTGGCTAGAGAACTATCTTGACTGATGTCAAAAAGTCCTGGGAGTGACCTCTGAATTGGTCCTAGGTAGATAAGGTGCACAGAAGCTATGAAAGTACGCGGGAATGGCCAGACGCAGTGGCTCACGCCTGTAATCCCAGCACTCTGGGAGGCCGAGGTGGGTGGATCACAAGGTCAGGAGTTTGAGACCAGTCTGACCAGCATGGTGAAACCCCATCTCTACTAAAAATACAAAAAAAGTTAGCCAGGTGTGGTGGCACACACCTGTAATCCCAGCTACTCGGGAGGCTGAGGCAGGAGAATCACTTGAACCCGGGGAGTAGAGGTTGCTGTGAGCGGAGATCACGTCACTGCACTCCAGCCTGGGCGACAGAGTGAGACTCTATCTCAAAAAAAAGAAAAAAAAAAAAGAAAAAAAAAAAGAAAAACCAAAGTACGTGGGAAGACATACAAAATGGACTTTCTGAAGCTCCGTAGATCTCTATCCTCACCAAAACTAGCTGTGGCTATGCACAACCATTGACTCGGCTGAAGTACTCAACAGGTCAGAAGAGGTGTGAATGAAGTGAAAAAAGAGAAAACTCTCCCTTTCTACTGCATTTCTAACATTCGTTTCCTGGCCCCAATGGAGAGAGGAGGAGTCACTAAACTGGTTGGTCAGATGCTGAGTGTGGATTGGGCCATGTTTGACAGAGTGCAAAGTCCTCTGTTTCCAAAGGTGGTACCTTTCTGACACTTCCTGATTACGAGGGGAAGGTAGATAGGTCAGTTGACCCTGTTCTCTCCCTGTGGCTGACCCAGAGACCATCTGGCCCCATCCCTCTGCCCATATTTCCTTGCCTCTTCCTCTAGCAGGGAAACTCAACATTTTTAGGCTCAGGAAAATCTATGGGAAAGATAAGACGTAATTGCTGCTGTACTTGAGCATAAGTCTCATGCTTCCTGCACTGGAATACTGAGCACTAGCTTAATTAATTCATTAAATAATTGAATACATACTTATTAAGCCCTCTAAGGGGAGACAGTACTAGCAATAAAACACTCTTTTAAAATGTTATCTAGGTATTGAAATTGTAGATGAATTTTGCTTTGATCTTTTCCTCAAATTTTCTGTGGGAATAAGTAATACTTTTATAAATGCATATACGAATGCATCCATCCATACATAACAAACGCACCAAAACGGGGGCGATTCTGGATTTATATGTGAGGAAATGATGAAATCCTGTGGAGCCTTATCTTTTAATGTGACTTTCTCTACAGCTTTTTATGGTGGATACACTGAGCTTCCTCCCCACTTGGGATCATCTGGATATGAGGAAGGCTGTACATTAACCACCTTGACCTTCCTTCCAGATCTCCATTTTGGTAGAGTGTGATTGTCTAGTGATGTCTGTGTTCTCAGATGTCCCCCTCTCTCCCACATTTCCTTGCCTATCACACCAGGGAGGTAAAGCCCCCAGGAATGACTCCTACTTCAAAGTTCTCTCCACTGGATAAGCCAGTACTGTCCATGGGACCAGAATTTTGCCCTAGTCCTCTACGTTAGTCACGGGACCCCTATTGGCCTACTTTGGTCTTATCAGGACATCACAGTGGCTAAAGAGCAGTCTCTGAAGGCAGGCTGCCTGGGTTCCCATCCCAGTTCTATCACTTGTTTGTTGCCTGTGAATACCGGTCTGGTTGCATTATCTTCCTTTGCCTCGTGTTCCTCATTAACAAAAAGGGAAAATAAAAATATCTGCCATCTAGGGTTCCATAAGGACTAAATGAGGCAATATAGCTCAACAAGATGCCAGGCACATCAGAGGCTCAGAGAAGTTTAGCTGCTGGTATTATCAGTGTTATTCCTCTACTCAGGACAGTAGCCTTACCCCAAACGACAGCCCAGGGGTTGGACCTTGCAGCCCATGTACAGTTCCCCAGGATAAGCACAGGCCACACTCCTGAAATGACTGCAGCCACCTTTGCTCCATCTGCTGCGGCTGTCTGTGTAATTGGACACCGTGGCGATCAGCTTGCCATGCCCTTCAGACACTGCCTCACCCACCTGGCTGCAGGTTCAGACACAGCATCTTAGTTAGGTCAGTGTCCCTTGTCTGCCCCACATTCCTGCCTGCCAAATTTGGCCTCTCACCACACCCACCTGCCACAGGCCCTTAGAGCAAGGCCCCATTTCAGGAATCTGGCCTATGTGTGTCCCCTGGGATCGCTACCCATCTCACAGAGATCAAAACGGGCTAACAGTCCCTTCCTCGGGTTGTTGAAGCCTTTAGAGGGTCTCAGCAGCCCGGTTGAGGTTCTAGCTTTATGTGTCTGTGATTTTGAACAAAGGAGATTCATTTTGTGTGTAGAGTGGCTTTGAGGGGGAAGAGGAGAAGCTATTTATTTATCGATTTTTTTTTCTGTAGAGTTCCAATTTCACTCTACTTCATCTGTGTAGATGAAAATCATTCCTGAGTTCTTCCAATTTCTTCTTATTCCCTTCTTGTTAGGAAAGGGGGCACTGTAGAGCTGTCAGCAGAAACACATTTCTTCCTCTTTGTTCCCATCCTGCACCTGCCACCTGCCACCTGCCTTACTCATATGTCTGGTCATCCCACCCCTAGTCGGTCAAGGGCTTCTGGGAAAGACCTGTCCCATAACTGTTCTTTGGGTCCTGTTGCCTTCCGACTCCTCACAACCCTCAGTCCGTCAAACTGCCCTTCAGTGTCCCACGTCTCTGACATTGCCATGGGCTCTGACATGGTGCCGAAGTACGACAGATAATCCTGAGCTCAGATCTCAGCTCTACCACTCTGAGCCTTAGGCAAGCCACCACGATGCTGGGAGAATAAGACTTCTCATTGGATACAACAGTGATGGCATCCACCTCATGATAACATTCTTGCCAAGAACGTTGATAACTGTAAGCACTGAGTTAACGAGAGTCCTTATTTTTATGGCCTATTCCACTTTATTTATTTATTTATTTTTTAAGCTTTTCATTATCTTTTGTGAAAAACAGACTAACACCAACGTGACGCGTCCCGCAGGACACGGGGACACAGAACCGGGGAGGGCCCGGGCCGGGCTGGGCGGGGTCTCCGGGCCTCACTTGGTCGGCCGCGTGATGAAGCGCGTGGAGAAGTCGAACAGGTTGCGCACCTCGTCCTCCAGCTCCATCACGCGGACGCGCAGCTGGTCCTGGCCGCCGAGCACACTCTTCTCCATGGTGCTGCACAGCACGGTCTGCAGCTGCTCCGTGCGATCCAGGTAGCTGGGCTCCAGGCCCTGCTGGTGGAGACCCAGGCGCAAAGTGAGGCCACCGTGGCGCGGCTCGTCCCCGTGCTCGGCGCCCAGCAGGTGCTTGTTGAAGTGAGGCAGCGGCAGGCTGGGCCTGAAGTCTGAGCTCAGCATGCTGACGGGTGCCAACAGGATGGTGGCATTGGTGACGGGGCCTTTGAGGGTCACCGTCCGGATGCACTGCTTGCTCTGCACGTCCCAGAGCCGCATGGTCTCGTCGTGGGAGCCCGAGAGCAGCACGCTGCCATCCGTGGACACCGACAGGCAGGTCACCTGGTTCCTGTGCCCTTTGAAGACCTTCCCGGAGTCCCGCTCTGGCTGGAAGCTTCTCTCCCTCTGTCCTGGCCAGGTGAACAGGTCCACCTGGAAGATGGAACTGTCGCTGCCCCCGCAGAACAGGTGGTGCTAGGCCAGGTCCATGGTCACCGCCATGACGGCCACATCAAAAAGTACGGAGAGGAGCAGCTCCCCCGACTGAACTCCACTCAGTCTATAAACATGCGCAAGCCTCCCCTGATCTTTAAAAGACCTCCCTTTAATTTTATTCCTTATTTGGCTACTTTCTCAGAGCCACTCTCATTACCAGCCATTCCACAGGACTGCTGTATTCCCCTGGCCTCTTCTTTATAAATGCAGATTCACCAGAGGGTCACCAACCACTCCAGCATGCCCAGGCCTGAGCTGTTTCCTGGGACACAGGACTATCAGGGCCCAAATCAGGAGAGTTTCAGTAAACCAGGAACTCTATCCTTCAGCCTATAGACTTTCTCACCAACTGCCTGAATTAATTAGACAAAGCCGACAGCCCCCACATGGCCACCCTCTGCAGTGACTTCCATATCTTCTGTGACTCTGTGGTGCTCAGCAGGCCATAATGATGACACCCTTGATGGTTTTTCCTCCCTTGAATTCCAGGGCCTTGGATGACACTCTTGATGGTTTCCCTGGCATTCTAGTTACTGTGGCTGCATAACCATCAAACTGAAAACATGACAGCTTCAGCAGCACTTTCTTATTATCTCTCAAAGTTTTGTGAGGTGTGGGCTCAGCAGGGCGGCTCTCCTACAGTTCTCACATGGTGTTGCCATTGACAGCAGCTGGGGCTAAATGTCTGAAATGGCCTCTTGCCTGGTTGGGGATGGCTGGAAGTGCTGGGCCTGCCAGCATGCTCTTGTCATGCATCCCCAAAGACAGCTAGCGAGGGCTTCTCCCAGCCCAGCTATCTCAGGGCTTTAAGACTGAGTGTCCCAAGAGGGAGGAAGGGGAAATTTTTAGCATCTTGAGGCCTAGGCTGGAAGTTGGCCCTTTAGTTTGGAAACCAGCCAAAGTCACAGCACCCACCCAGGGGAGGTGACATGAACCCTGTCTCTCAGTGGGAGAAGCATCAAGGAATTTATGGCCACTATTAACCTGCTGCACTTGAGGATCTCTCTGTTCTTTCTGCTCTTCCTCCTCTATGGAATTTGATCCTCAACTCTCCTCTTTTCACAGTCTCTATCAATTATCTTCATATCCAGGCACACGTCCAGTTCCTCACCAAACCATGTTAATCTTGCCTCCTAAGCCTTTTTCTAAATCAGCCTCTTCCATTTTTCTCATTCCAGGAGTTCTTTGTTTCTCAACGGTTTTTATGCCATAGCTTCTTGGTGGTCTCAGTCCTTCAGCATCAGCACCTTATACTCTTCTCTCCACACTTCTGCCAGAATCCAGTTTCTAGAATGCAAGTCTAATTGGAATGCCTTTTCTACTAAAAGCATTTGTATAGCTCTGTGTGCTCTGCAGGCCTATGTCTAAACTGCCTATAACCTCTGATCCTGGGCTCCTTCCCTGGAATGATTTTCAATTCTGTCTCACCCAGCCCAGCCTCACCCCTTCCCACTTCTGTGTGCCACCTGCCCTGAGTCCAGATCTTCCTTGTAACTTGGAGGTGATTAGGTCCTTGTCCCAAGGTCAGGCTAGGGCTCCTATTCATACTACTTCACACAAGGCAGAAAAAGAGAATGGTTGTCTCTCCAGTGTAATGTCAGAGCCTCAACATGCAGGGAGGGAGCCTGCATGGCTAGATCTGAGTCCCTGGAGACCAGCAGGGTCCCTAGCAGGCCTTCAGCACAATAGGGTTAAGAGAGGCAGCTGTATCTATCATGTTCTCACACTGACTTGACAACTCAAGGTTAATCCAGAAAGTCTGGCTTTGGGTTAATAGGGCCTTGACCCTTTATTTATTATGTTGACTGAGGGTTTTCTTCTCATTGGGAAGATCTGACATGTAGCTGTCTGGAAGCCCGCCCCATCATTTTGTATTGCTGTGAATCTGAACTGAATGTTCTGGTTCTATCTTTCTGGCTGTTTTCTGTAATAATGCTCAGTCACACTTTGTTATTTAATCTGAGGGACTGAGACCTCCATGGACTGCAGGTTGATTTTGATGTCCCCCAGATGCAATGGAATCCTTGATGGGCTGAGAAGTTACTGGATAGCTGCATCTTGTCTTCCCACATGGGCCAGGCCGTCCCCTGCCATGCCCTGTTGTCTCATTGACTGTGTTCAGTCAGACTGGCCTCTGGCAGCCCCATGCAGTTCAGACAGGGACCAGCAACAACTGTAGACCCTCTAGTTCTTTGCTTCTTCTGTGTCCCATGTTGCAGGCCTTGGCTGGGATTGCTGAAGGTGGATATGTTTCCCTGAAGCTGCCTTGCATGAAGAGTCACAAACCCTTTTTGTTTTTTTAATTTGAGACAAGGTCTTGCTCAATTGCTCTGGCTAGACTGTAGACCTCCCCAGCTCAAGTGATTCTCCCACCTCAGCTTCGCAAGTAGCAGGGTCTACTGGTGTGTACCGTCAAACAGAGCTAATATTTTTAAAAACTTATTTTTTGTAGAGATGGGGTCTCACTTTGTTGCCTAGGCTGGACTTGAGCTCTTGGGCTCAAGTGATCCTCCCGCCTCTTCCTCCCAAAACACTGGGATTATAGGTGTGAGCCAGTATGCCTGGCCCCAAATCCGTTTTATCATGTCATCCTAAAACTAAAGTAATATTAATGGTTCATAGACTACATAAAGTCTAAGCACTTTGATCTTTCCTGTGCTTCTCAGCTTGTCTTGAATTCCAGCCACAGATCTGTTTCCTTCCACACAGCTGTGAGGCGCCCTACCTGCATGTGGCTCTGAGGGTGCCGCAATGCCCACCCTGCTGTGCCTTCCATCTTGCTCTTTGTTCACTGTTATGTTCCTTCTGCATCTCATTAGCATACAGGATATATAATATCTAATATACAATATCACTTGCTGCATGATAACCTCAAAGGGGCAACATTATCACTATATGAGTATTTCCAACACATTCACTCTGGGCTGCTAGAGAGCCTGATTATGGATTCAACAGCTTGAGCTCCTTCCTTTACCAGCCCAACAGATGCCTCTCTAGCAAGATTAATGCTTTTGGGCTTTTAAAGCAAAACTGGAAGAAAAGAAGGAAGGGAAGACCAACATGAGTATGAGCTGTAACCCAAGGTAGGTTTATGGAGAAGTTTAGGTGGCAGAGACACCAGGGAGGGGAATTAATTGTGCCGTGAAAGGTCACAGATGAAAGAAGAAAAAGAATCTCAGAGTATCACTGTGAACTGTATATTCTTTCCCTAACATTTAAGCAGCACAAGTAAGAATATAAGCAACTCAAATTATGACTGTTACCCAGTGCAATTTTAACCATGATTTCACTTTAGCGTAGTCCTAAAGTGGGTGGGCAGTGGCAGGGGGAGTCTTGGTTTCCAGGGAGTTCTATAAAAAAATCAGATGGCACAATAATATAAATATGCCTATTATTATGCAGATACGTCTATGGAGCCATACTTGTTCCTAATAGAAAACCTGTGAAGCAGTGCAGTGATCACACCTTTACATTGCTCAGGTTGGGTTCAGTCTCCCCACGCAGACTTAACTTTCTTAAAGGCTTAGCGCCTATGGCCCAAATATTTATTGTAGAGTAAGTTGAGACATCTCCTTGGAAATAACACGACAGTGATTGAAAATGGCAGCCCACGGTGCAGTCCTTAGCCACGCTGGCTCTAAAGGCAGAGCAGTCCGGGTGAAAACATGTCCATGTTCAAATAAAAGGCTCTAACAACGTGTCACCTTGACCATCTGGACTGTGGCCTGATGAAGCCCCTGTGTCTAATCTCAGTGCTGGTACCTCTGGCTCCAGCGAGCTTGTCCTGGCTCTGGCTGCATCGCCACAGGGAAACATTGCTCCAGAATGCCAAGGAAGACAAGGCAGCCGGATCCCCTGGAGCCCTGCTTTTCCACCAGCGCCCTTCACTCTCCAGCTTTGGCTGCAAAGGATTTCCCCACAGAAAACTCTCAGCATAAAGCCATTCATGTCACAACTGTCACCAAGGCACCAATATGTCTATTCCCAGAGCAGAAATAAAAGCCGGATGTATGTTCCCACCCTGACTCCTCTCGGACGAGACCTGTAATCCCTAATTCAGAGGCCTTTAATTATGGCAGAGGGTCTGGTGTTGACTGAGCTCTTGCTGTCCCAGACACATGGCTGGCCACTTCTCCTGGGCTTTTTCAGGTCATCTTCATGGGGCCGCCTTGTAGGCGATGTATATCACTTTCATTTTATAGGTGAAGAAACAGAATCTCAAGAGTCCAGAGGGGCTCCCTGGGCATGGGGTTGAGCCCCAAGTTGCTGTGGCCATCATGCTGCCTCTGGCTTGGAAGCTACTGCCTGAAGCCCAGAGTAAGCAGACAGATCCCAACAGCCCCCACCTGTGGGAGGCTCACCTCGCCATGGTCACGAAGGAGTCATTATAAACTGACAGTAGGGTTGGCCGCTTAGATTTTCTGTTATGTATAATCAGGAAACTCTGTGTTTTTAAAATATGAGATGATGATTGAAATGGGATTAATGATACCCTTGTAAGACAGGTTGAAGGGGCGTCCCAGCCCCTTAGGCCCCTTTGGCCCTATGCGGACACAGCCACAGGGCACTGTCTTTGAAGCTGAGAGGGCCCTCACCAGAAGCGGATCTGTTGGCACTGTGATCATGGACTTTCCAGTCTCTAGAACTGCAAGAAATAAACTTCTATTATTTATGAATTACCCAGTGTAAGGTATTTTGTTATAGCAGCCTGAATGGACTGAGACAGACAGCATGATGGGACAGGATTAAAAATGGTGTGCTAAAAAGGTTGAGGGGTGTTCTTCCGAAGGGTGCAGGGAATGATGAGACCAGAGCAGGCAGCAACCTGGGGGTACATCCAGCCACGTGTCCACACGAGGAAGCGAGGGGAGGGACGGGCTGAGCCCGAGACTGACCGGGGAGGTGAGATGGGATCCGGGATGGGTGGTGCTGACTGGTGGGGGCAGGACACTAAGGCAAGGCAGAGAGGTTGAAAATGATTCCAGATTTCCTGTTTATGCCTGGACAGCTGTGAGGAGGCGGTGCCCATGAAAGTGACGAGAACACAAGGTCGGGGAGAAGGGCAGCCCCTTTGGCAGTGGGCTCCTGTTGCTGTAATCAGAGGTCACTCCAGACACACTGCCCGTTCTTCCTACTAAAACTGGATGGACAGGGAGGTACACAAAGCAGATCTGGGCCAGAGATCAAGAGAAGGATACCCTCTTTTCAGAATCACCTCATTTTCTCAGGGTTCTGGGCAATCCAAGCCTTGATTTGGAAGGACTCTGACAAAGTACACAGTGAACAAGGGCTGTGCTGGCTCCCTCTGAAGGTTTGAGGCAGGCCAGCAGTGCCCAGCTATATGTATTAAAAAATGATAGAGTTACTACAACAATACAGGATTGTATAATTTTATAGGATGGGTCAACTTAAAATTTCACCAATCTGTCTTCTGTCAGTCTTAAAGTTTGTATCTTTACAGTTAGTATATTATAGCCATTGATAAGATGGTCAAATAGCCAGGTGCCCACTAGAGAAAAATTAGGCCAGAGAATAGGAAATGATTCAGGCTTTATTTTCTTTAGTATTTTTATCAAGTATGTTACTCCTTGGAGAGTGCAGAAAATACTTATTTAAAATATTCCTAATTTGATGGTACTTTCAAAGTCTGATTTAGTCAGATCATTAAAAGTTGTATAAATCAATAGCAATTACCTACGTCTAAATTGAATCATTATCCCCAAAGAAAAGTACTATTAGAACATGGTAGAAGCCAGGTCATCTGCAATATACCTCCGCTGTCATAAAAATAAATAACAAAAGGAAAAAAAAGAGAAAAATCAAAATCAAAATAAAAGGAACATCTCATTTTATTTTATTATGTTAATTTAATTTAATCCCCATGTAGGAAGAATGACCTTCTCTTGTACTTCAGTGTTTAAAATCTAGCCAATGTTTCATGTTTTCAAAATTATTTTTAATTTTAAGAGAGTATAATTTACCAGTTAGATTAATTGTGTTTATTCCCGCTGGGAGACTACAAAGACTCTTATTTTTAGTTCGTAACCGAAGCTTCTGTAGCCCTTTGGATCATGGCTGGGATTCTGCATTTTTATTATAGCAAGAGGAGCTTTGATGCTTGGATGTGCTATGGAAGGACAGAACATTTTGTACAGCCAATCTCTCCCTACTTGTTAATTTGGCTCTTTTCAGTCATACCTTTTTGCAAATGCGAATTATTTCACATAACATATAAATTTATGTAGCATCTTAATATACAATTTTAATGCACTCAGATCCCTAAAGCTAAATTCATTATAGCATTTTAATTTACTTGATCTATATTAATATATGTGCCCTGAGTTAATACTCTAATCATTTGCAAATTCAAGCTTTGTCCTGATAAATTTTTACTTTTTGACAAATTATATTACATTAGTATAGAATAATGTATTCTTAATATATTGATCACTCATTTGATAGATTTGCAAAACGTAAATACCTGCCTTTCCCATTTCACTTTAATTGATATTCCCCAAACACTGGGACATTGCTAGTCAAACAGGTAGGCTGAGGGGCAGCACCTTCCCAAGCCTGCACAAAAACATTTTTACAATGTCATTATCTAACGTGTTCAACTTTCAGTTATTTGCAGTATGCTTTTTGCAAGCCACCATTTTTTTTTTTTTTTTTTTTTTTTTTTTTTTTTTTTTTTTTTGAGATAGAGTTTTGCTTTTGTTGCCCAGGCTGGAGTGCAATGGCACAATCTTGGCTCACTGCAACCTCCACCTCCTGAGTTCAAGTGATTCTTCTGCCTCAACATCCCAAGTAGCTGGAACTACAGGCACATACCATCAGGCCTGGCTAATTTTTGTATTTTTAATATAGACAGGGTTTCACCATGTTGGCCAGGGTGGTCTTGAACTCCTAACCTTGGGTGATCCTCCTGCCTTGGCTTCCCAAAGTTCTGGGATTACAGGTGTGAGCCACTATGGACGATGAAGCCATTTGTTTTTTATAGGACGCTGCTGCTTGACCAAGTTTGAATATGCTTTCATTCAATTATGATGATCTTTATGTATTATAAAGAGCTGATTTTATATTATAATGTCTTTTTGTTTTTGTTTTTTGAGAAAGGGTCTCACTCTGTTGCCAAGGCTGGAGTTCAGTGGTGCTATCATGGCTCACTGCAGCCTCAACTTCCTGGGTACAGGTGATGCTCCCACCTCAGCCTCCCAAGTAGCTGGGACTACAGGCACACATCATCATACATGGCTAATTTTTTTGTAGAGATGGGGTTTTGCCATGTTGCCAGGGCTGGTGTAGAACTCCTGGACTCAAGCAATCTGCCTGCCCTGGCCTCCCAAAGCTGGGATTACAGGTGTGAACTACCATGCCTGGCCTATAATGTCTTTCTAATAATATTTAAAGTGTGTTTTCATACTCCCCATGAAGACAATTATATGGTTATTTGGGATAAATATGCAATAAATGTTCTATATATGTTACAGAAATCAAACTGCCTTGAAGGGAATGGCACTAGGGCTGGATTAATTTACAACACAAATTCCCCCTTTTTTGGTGTGTTGGCCCATGCAAACGAGGAGACAGTCAGGAGATCATATAGCATCAAAGTATAGAAGGAATGTGGCCATTGCCTCTTGGGTCTGAGTCAGGTATATTGAAATTCCCACCCAGAGATTTCTTCCTCCTTAATATTTATCTCCCTAACTTTAAAAAGATAAAAACTTGTAAGTTGCGTTTGTGCTAGCACCATTGAGGACTGCTACTTCACTTTGACCCTAAAAATGGGTTCTTATGTCTATTTCTCAATTAATTAGAGAACAAAGGGAAAAAATGGGTGTACTGTAAGAAAGAAAAACTTCTCTTACCAAACTTCCACTGAAGGTTTGTGCATACATACTATTATTATGTCTAACAATCATTACTCATGCAAGTTTTTATCCTTTCTGTTCTTATTGAAATTTAAGAGGTTTGTATCAGGTACCACTTGCTGGAGCCATCTTTACACCCCAGACGAACACACATTTCCTAGGCTGAATGATGCAGTTTGTGGGGTAATGAGAGGTCAGCATGACTAGGGTGAAGGGTGTCTGCTGGGGAGGATGGAGAAGTAGGGCTGTGGGCCGATGGTGAGTTTCTGCTGGCGCTTGGCGGCTAAGCAGAGAGACTGCAGCTGATGCAGTAGTACAGAGGAGCCATAGAGCTTTGGGGCAGATGGTAGCAGAATCGGGCTTAAGGGATTTTGCCTGGTATGGATTAGAGAGGAGAAAAGCCAGAGCCAGGGAGATAAGTATTAAAGAAAAGAAATTCTCTTGCTGGGAGTTTTATTATGTCTATCTCAAAGACAAGGGCCAGGAACCATATCTTATAAAATCATGTTCCCTCTACACCCTGATAGCATAAAAATTTCCTCCTTGCCTATTCACCCTGCATTAGCCAACACAAAAAAGCAATACTGGGTCATTGCTGGGAGCAGAGATACCATAAGCTTCTTCAAAGACAGACACCAGGACTTTCATCTTCACATCTGTAGTCCTTGGAATGCAGTAGGTCTTACAAAAACGTTTGTCAAGTGAATGAATGAAAATAAGAGTGAATGAAAATGGAAGCAAAATATGCTTGAGGATATAGTCTTTCTTGGACCACAAGTCAAATGACAGTGGATAACTTCAGATTCCTAGCTGTGCATCTTTTCCTCTGAGAACTGGATAGCTTGGAATAACAGACCATTCCATTTCCTTTCCAACAGGCCACACTGAATGAACATCTGCTGAGAACCATAAAGTGCATGAAGAAGTTTGTCCATGAGATCACTCCGTACCCAAGTGGAGGAGAAGGAGCTGTGGACTGAAGGTAAGCTGTGCATTCCTTCAGCTGGCAAATGTGAAGCCCATCTAGGTATTTCCTCAGGCAATGAGAAATACACCATTATGGGGACCCATGAAAAAAGCCTGCCATAACTCTGAAAATCATTTATTTTCAAAGGCAGAAGAAAATTTTAGAAAATATATAAATAAGTGATAGCAAGTTTAATCATTCAGAAACACCAGTAGATTAAAAATCAAAGACACAGGCTGGCAGTGCCAATGTCTCACAGCCCTCCAGAGAAGTTGTGGCTAGAGCCAAAGGTCAGAGCAAAATGTGAAAAATCATGGAAAGACTGGGACCATGGGCAGGAAGCCTTGAAAGACTGAGTCAAGCAAAGGCAAAGCTGGAAGGCAGGCTGACTGTTGAGAACACCTGATCTAACTATAGCCACATGGGAGACGACCCTGCAGGAGCCATGGAGTGAAAGTTAAGGGACCTGAGCCAAGGGGCTTATGGATAGGAACCAACTCTTTCTTTGTATTAAAGGGGCAGCCCTCTGGGCTGGCTGGGTGGCTTTGATCCAACTGCCCTAGACCTCACCACTTACTACTGAACATATTTTTAAGGATCTCTTTAAATCTGCACCTCTCTTTTAGAGGACCCATTTCCTAATGGAGGCAGCAGAACAAATAATGAAACAACTGAATTCTGCCTCATCCATGTCTGCCAAGGCATAAGAGTGATCAAAGTACTCACGTTCCACGAAGTACGAGCTGGCGTCGATCTTCCAGATGATCTGGCCCCGATGAGAACCATTGACTCCACGGTTCTTGTAGTCCAGAAAGTTTTCAGACAACACCTCATCTATATTCCCAGAGGAAGAAAAAAGAGTAATGAAACATATCAGTCAACAGCATATTTAGAGGAATAAAAGAAAGCGAGCAAGCTATACAAATGCTGCTTCCATCTCAACAGAAGAAAAAGCACCTGGAATCAGAGCATCAGATAGCAGAAAGCATCCCAAAGACACCATGGGACCAAACGCTCTTTATGCAGGAATCTCCTCCCCACGCCACAGCACTCCTGGCAGGAGATCATGTAACTGGTTCTGGAATACCTCCAGAAACAGAGCAATAATTACTGCTATTGCATTTCACTTCACTTTTAAATGGTTCTTGCATGTATGAAAGCTCAGTGTGAAAATCTTCCTCCTAAAGCTTCTATGAACTGATCCCTACTTAAGACCGAGGTCAAGACATAAAGAAAGAGTCTCCATTTGAGGAGTAGTTCTCACAGACTCCACCTCGTATCATCTCTCCTCACACCTGGGCATCACCACCATCCTACACATAGTTGCACCCCTGAACTTATCCATCCATCCATCATGCACTCATGCATTCATTGTTCATTCAGCAGCTGAAATCCAACCATCTGCCAGATGCTGGGGAAGGTGCAGGGGCTGTGGTGTTGGGCAAACCAGTATGATCTTTTCTGAACCAAAGCTTACAAACAATTGAGAAGACAGACTGTAAACATGAAGCAAAGAAATAACTGTTTGATCGTAACTTGTGATAAGAGATGGAAGGGAGGCCAGGCATGGTGGCTCACACCTGTAATCCCGAAACTTTGGGAGGCCGAGGTGCAGATCACGTGAGTTCAGAAGTTCGAGACCAGCCTGGCCAGCACGGTGATGGGGGAATGTGTTCTCTTTCTGCATCCACAAGGGGGAGTAGTTTTAAGGGCTAGAACTTCCCAGCACCATGCCCCCCTCCCATCTCTCTCCATCCAGGAGATTTAACGATTTACTGTTTGAATTTCACTGGCAAGGGAAGAAACTAAGAGTCAATCACTCCAGTGGAAGTTCTAAGGAACTCCTTTCATTGGCCTGGGATCTTAGAGAAGGTGGGGGTTCCCCCAGGTTAAAAGTCCCCTTCTTCCACACTCCTTTGGGCTCCATGTTTGGGTCCCTTCCACGAACACTCCCTTTGTGGAAGCCATCTTTCTCTCTCTGGGATTTCCCCTCTGGGGTCCCCTTCCACACTCTCTCGTGGAAGCCTGTCTTCCCCTCCTAAACTCCAGCTCTCTCTTTTCCCTTGGAGTTAGCTGTTTCTCTGTTTAAATAAGTCACTTTCTACAAACACTTTCGGGTCCGGCATTTGCTGCACACTGTGCTGTGGTCCCATCTCTCATTCTTGAGAGGGCAGTAGGCCAAGAACCTGGAGAAACATTCTCTCAGGGAGCTGAAGGCACCCTGAACCGCTGAACCCCAATATTACATTTTAGTGAGCCAGTCAGGAGAGGGGTACACCAGAAAAGGGGTACAGCCAGGAGAGGGGTACAGCTGGAGAGAAGACTTTGAAATCATGAGTAAAACCAGCCCCGTTGTGTCCTGTCTCTTTGAGAACACCTGAAACAGCCACAGCCAGGCAGGGCTGCGGCCACCCGAGCCTGGAGGCACGACCCAGCCCATCTTAAGTGGTGCTACCCAGCCAGAATTAAAAGCCAGTTTTTTTTTACCTCCAAGCTCTCTCTCCGCTTTCCCTCTCCTTCTCTATTCTTCAGATATTATCTCTGGGACCAAAACCTGTGGGAGCCTGTGGGGTGGAAAGGGTAAGCACCCCCCACTTTCTGCTCCTTGCGGCTGGGAACAGCCCAGCCTGGGGGTGGAACTGAGCCACTCAGCCCTCAGCCGGAGAAAACAGCAGGGAGGGGCATGCTACAGCCCGAGCTTGCACGGGTCGGGGAGCACAGAGACCTGTGCAGGTTCTGGCAGGCCTCTTTGGTGTTCCCCAGTCCCAGGCAGCAGGATTAAAAAGGCTTCCCCAGGGCGTTTGCCTGCTGGCCGTGGATCCCCCCCCCCCCCCCCCCCCCCCCCCCCCGCCTGGGGAGCGGCCCAGGCATGCACGTCGTTCTGGCAGGGGTCAACATGGCGACTGAAAGCCCCGGGGGTGGAGGAACTCACTGGCCCAGCAGCAGCTGCAAGCAGCTTTTAAACCCATAGTGGCAAGTGATTTTTTTTTTTCTCTGGGTGGGTGGGCTGAAAGAAAAGAAGCAGCTGCCGGCCATCAGCCCCACCCGGCTTTGGGCAGGCCACGCCGCCTTAGGGTGCAACATTCTTATTCAAAATAAGCTTACGAAAGCAAGTGGTCTATCAGCACAGTTGGTTAAGGTGTAAGGCCTATAACTGCAAGGTGGGTGGTTTAAGTCCCCTGTGGAGTCAGACTTCAATTGGCAGAACCTTTTGGGAAATTTAGAAGCTGAAGGCTATGGGACTTTGGTGAATACTTTGTCTTGCTTAGGATTGGCTCTCTCTACGGCAGAACTTTTCCATCCAGAAAATCAGTTAAACTGGTTGGAGGCCCCAGATAATCAATGGCAGGTGTCACAACCTTAAGGGCAATTTCCTACAATGGAAATGGGTTAGGGGAGAGGCGGCCTGGGTCCTGAGGGTATTGTTTCAGCTGCAGCGGCCCAGCCTGCCTTCTTTAGTTCTAATGGCCTCTCCCTAGAATTTTACCCTTCTGGGGCAGTTTTATAAATTGGCCTGTGTAAATTGGACTTTGGCTGGGAAATATTGGTACCATCTACTTTTCTCCCATGCCTTCCTCATTATGCCAGAAGGTCCCGCTCCCTTACTAGGAGTGGGACCTGCTGGCCAGAGCAGGAACCACTCTCTATACAAACCTCATTAGGGAGGAAGTCCCTCTCTGCTGCCCATTATTTTAAGAGGGGATTAATCCTGAAGTTTGGGCAATGGATGGACAATTTGGATGGGCAAAGAATGCACGTCCAATTCGAATACGGCTAAAGGATCCCACCTCTTTTCCTTACCGAAGACAGTAGCCCCTAAGGCCAGAAGCCAAAAAGGGACTACAGGATATTGTAAGGGACTTAAAAGCTCAGGGTGCAGTGAAGTCCTCTAACAGCCCTTGTAATACTCCCATTTTAGGAGTGCAGAAATGTAATGGACAATGGAGGCTGGTGCAGGATCTTAGACTTATTAACGAAGCTGTGATTTCTTTACACTCAGCTGCACCTACTCCTTACACCTTACTCTCTCAAATACCAGGAGAGGCACAATGGTTTGCAGTTCCGGACCTTAAAGATGCCTTTTTCTGTGTACCACTACATCCTGGTTCTCAGTTTCTGTTTGCCTTTGAAGACCCTTTAGACCAGAGTTCTCGGCTCACCTGGAGAGTATCATCACCTCAGGGCTTTAGAAACAGCCCCAACCTGTTCAGCCAGGCCCCAGCTCAGGACCTTAGTAGTTTCTCACATCCAGGTACCCTGGTTCTTTAATGTCTCGATGACTTACTTTTAACTGCAAGCTCAGAAACCTAGTGTCAGCAGGCCACTCAGGACCTCCTAAACTTCCTTGCCGCCTGTAGATATAAAGTTTCCAAACCAAAGGCCTAACTTTGTAGGCAGGAGGTAAAATACCTAGGGCTGGTCTTGTCTAAGGGCACTTGGGCCTTAGAGAAGGGACGTCTCCGACCCATACTAGGTTTCTCCCATCCCAAGACTTTAAAACAGTTACTGGGATTCTTGAGAATAACTGGTTTTGCCGATTGTGGATTCCCAGATATGGTGAAATAGCAAAACCTCTGTACACTCTGATTAAGGAAACCCAAAAAGCTAAGACCCATTTAGTACTCTGGGACCCTATAGCTGAGGCAGCCTTTCAGACCCTGAAGCAGGCACTACTGCAGGCTCCAACCCTAAGCCTTCCTACAGGGAACGACCTCTCCCGATTTATTACAGAGAAGTCAGGAGCGGCACTGGGGGATCTCACCCAGATTCAGGGAGCCACGCCACAACCAGTGGCATACCTAAGTAACAAAATTGATGCAATAGCAAAAGGCTGGCCACACTGCTTGTGAGTCGTAGCCACGGTGGCTATACTAGTCTCAGAGGCAGTTAAAATAGTGCAAGGGAAAGATCCACCTGCATGAATTCACATGATGTAGCTGGAATTCTGGCCTCTAAAGGAGGCTTATGGCTGTCTGACAATCTCCTCCTCAAATATCAGGACTTAGTGCTCGAAGGGCCTGTACTCCAGCTGTGTACATGTGCAGCCCTCAACCCAGCTACTTTCCCCCCTGAGACAGGAGCAGACACAGAGCATGACTGTCAGCAGATTATAGCTCAGAACTATGCCGCTCGAGAAGATCTCTTAGATACTCCTCTAGCCAACCCTGACCTTAACCTTTACACTGACGGAAGTTCTTTTGGGGAAAATGGAGTTTGAAAGGCAGGATATGCAGTAGTCAGTGATCAAACAGAGCTTGAAAGCAATTCCCTTCCTCCTAGTGCTAGTGCCCAGCTGGCAGAACCGATAGCCCTCACCCAAGCTCTAAAATTAGGAAAGGGAAAGAGTGTCAACATATACACAGATTCCAAATTTGCTTACCTGGTTCTGCATGCCCATGCTGCCACATGGAAGGAAAGAGAGTTCCTAACCTTGGCAGGAACTCCCATTAAATATCGCAAGGAAATTTTACACTTATTACAACTGTCTAAGAACCCAAAGAGGTAGCAGTCTTACACTGTTGGGGTCACCAGAAAGGAGATGAGAAGGCAGCTGAAGGCAATCCCTGAGCTGACCTAGAGGCTAAAAGGGCAGCTAGACAAGCATTTATGGAAGGACCTTTAATACCGGAGAACCCACTCCAGGGAACTAGACCTCAATACTCATGAGAAGAGGTAGAGTGGGCAATCTCCCAGCGACACAATCTTCTTCCTTCAGGATGGTGAGCCACTGAGGAGGGAAAAGTGCTTCTACCTGCTGCCAGCCGGTGGAAAATACTTAAAACCCTACAACAAACCTTCCATGTGGGTATAGAGAATACACATCGGATTGCCAA